TTTTCTAGCACCTTTTATGATCTCAAGACATTTTATTTTTCTTTATTCGTTCACTGGATGAGGGTGTCGCTGGCCAAGCCAGCATTTATTGCCCATCCCTAATTGCTCAGAGGGCAGTTGAGAGTCAGCTATATTGCTGTGGGTTGGAGTCACATGTAGGCCAGACCAGGTAAGGATGGCAGATTTCCTTCCCTAAAAGTGAACCAGATGAGTTTTTCCTTCCTGAGAAGAAAACCAAATGACCTCTTAATGCACTTTACAGCTAAGGAAACACTTTTGAAGTGTGATCTCTGCTGTAACGTAGGAAACGCAGCTGCCTGTTTGCACACAGCAAGATCCCACAAACAGTGTTGAGAGAATGAGCTGATAATGTGTTTTTTTTGGCGGGGGAGGATATTGTCGAGGAGTAAATGGACACTAGGGAGAACTCCCCTACTCCTGTGCAAAGTACCACGAGATCTTTTCCTGAGAGGTCACACTGTTGTTGATCTCATCCAAAAGACAGTTCCCAGAGCAGCTCAGTACTGCCTTAATACTGCACATGGGCCTATGCTGTGGAGTGAGACTTCAGGCCCTGTTGTGGAAATGATGATGCAGTGGTGTTGTCACTGAGCCTCTGATCCAGAGGTCTAACGCCCTGGGGGCATAGGTTCAAATCCCACCACAACAGTTGGTAGAATTTTTAAAATTCTCTTAATAAATGTGGAATTGTAAGCCAGTCTCGGTGATGTTGACCATGATAACTGATTGTTGTCAAAGTTCATCTGGTTTCCTAGTGTCCTACAAGGAGGGAAATCTGCCATCCTTACCTGACCTGGCTTACATGTGACTCCAGACCTCACAGTAATGTGGTGGACTCCTGAATGCCCTCTGAAATAGCCTTAGCAAGCCACTCAGTTCAAGGGGCAATTAGGGATGAGCAACAAAAGCTGGTCGTGCCAGCGATGCCCACATCCCATGAAAGAAGAACAAAGCAAGCTTTTGACTTGAAAACCACAGCCACTAGGCTGAGGGGCTGCTTTAACGGCCACCAATCGAATTGTACTTCACTGACAGGTCTCCTGTTGTTTATTTCCAGGTGAATTTTCTAAGACAGGGCTGTGGCTCTGATAAGATTTGTCAGAGTAACTTACAGATGGAATATAGCTTTTGTACGAGGCTTGATGAGGACGTATTCCAGCCCTTGCCAAAGTATGTATACATCCTTTTATTCCAGGAGATATCCTAACCTATAGCTATAGTGTTGGAAAGGACTTGTGCATAGTACACACCGGATCACAGAAGTGGTACAGCACCGAAGGAGGCCCTTCAGCCCATCGAGCCTGCACTGGCTTATTAAATGAGCATCATTAGCTAGACCCAATCCCTGACCTTTTCTTCGCTCTGTTCTATTACCCATATGCACTTTGTATGGTATGATCTGCCTGTAGCACATGCAAAACAAAACATTTCACGTATTTAGGTGCATATGACAATAATGAATCAAATCAAAGTATTCCCCCCATATCCCTGTACCCCATTTCTATCCCAATAACCATCCTGTGCCCCTCTTGCATGGCTCAAT